CACTCAAAATGCTGCAAGAAGAAGATCCCGAATTTTTGAAAGATTGTAGGATTATATTATAGCCATGCCTGTCGTAAAATCTGCTTAGTGGTTGGTCACTATAATAATCTGGGGAAGCTGGATGTGACTCTGAACATAAATAAAACAAACGAAAGAAAATCGAGACCAGCATCGAAGCCTATTTTTCTTGGATATTTCTCTTATTGTCACGTGCAATCGTCACGATTGCGTGCCAACGCTCGAAATTGCCCCTCTATTTTCTCTACCCCTTTCCTCGTTCCTTTTCTTTCTTTCTTTAAACTTCTCGCCTGCACGTCACTGCGACACGATAATAATTTCTAGCAATATATGGCTAAATTGTTGCCAGTCCTTATCGATTCAACCGTAACGATGCTCCACACCGAAAAAGTAGGGTAACTGCTTGCAACGTGGATCGTTTGTCGAAATTTTCAAGGAAGGCAATTCAATTTCAACAACGCAGCTGCTTTCTTGTCTTTATTGAGATCTTTGTTCCTTTAAGAAACTGCTGTGTATCAAATGTATACATTAGATAATAAATACAGTGAAAACGATCATTGAAGAAAAGTTGAAGAACAGATGAGACGTACTTTCTATATCTTTACTGCATTCTATGCGTCTACTCTTGCGATGCCGATGGAAAATGATAATCCATGTGTAGATTGATAATAATAAAATTTATTTTTCTCTAGAAATTAGCAGGAGGCAGACGTGGATCTGGAAATCGGCCGTGGTTCCTCGACAGTTGGCAGAGCGGCAGTGGGAAGAATCGTAAGGACTACGAGCAAGAGGAACCACCGGACGTGGACGAGCTGCCCATCGAGTTACGCCGCGTGGAAGATGTTAACGTGACGTTGAACAAGCAGTCAGACTCTCTCAGTATCAAGTCAAAGAGTCTGGGCGATATTCTGGAGATCCAGCGGCTGGACCTCGTGCGATCTAGATCCAGCATTCCTGGCCTGTGCTCCGTGCTGACGTCGGAATTGAACCTGGACGGAGAATCGAGGACGTCGTCGTCGATGAGTGGCTCGAAGCCACGGCTGGTCAAGCAGAAGACTCACCTCGTGGACGACACTGGTTTGGAACATCCTGATAACACTGCCATTCAAGAACTATTTAAGGACATTCCAGACTTTCAGGTTCTTATTGTTATTTGAAGCTTTCGTATACAAGTTTCATTTTAATTAAGAGTTTAAATGTTAACATATTTATTTGGCTCTGTTTGGCACGTCAGGTAACACCAGGTCACTACTTGAAACGGGGAAGCATCTTGAAACAGAGCTCGATGAACGAGGAATTAATGTCAACCGATAGGCTAGAAGAGAAAGAAAGGGTACGAAGGAACATAATGAAACAGGCGTCCCTGAACGAGGATATCATCTGCAAGAGGAAAACCTTCGAATCCCTCAGAGACTCCCTCTATTCTGTAAACGCGACAAAGAGATTTCAACTGTTGAAAAGTGGCCTTACGAACAAGATTAAACAATCCACGACGAATATCGAGGTGTCCGGCATATCGATCAAAAACGGATTCGTGAAGATCTTACAAGGATGGAAGTCCAGCGAGAACGACGCGAATACAGCTAACTCATCGATCGACGAAGCATCGAAGACAAAGGGCAATGACTCGAAGGTTCAGCCTGCCACCGCGTCGAAAAGAGAGACAGAGGTGATCGAAAGACGCTTGTCTCGCGAGGATGGCTCAGACTCGTCGAAAGACAGCAGTCTGCAAAGCGACACGAGCGTCGATTCCGAGGACAGTTTCGCGTCCGTGATTTACGTGCCAAAACAGGACGCACAGCCAACGACAGAGGCTGTTATCCCAGCCTCCAGTGGTCATCAGCTGGGAAGTATCTCAGCGCCACCTTCACCACGCGTCAAACATCCACCTGATACGCCTAACTCGAGATTGAAGGTCATTTCCATATCCCCGTTGCTCAAACAGTTCCCAGCTACAAGCAAGTCTCTACCACCACCCAGTCCACCTGGCCTATCTCCTTGTGCTTTAAATCCTGTATTTACCGGGCCGTTCTTTGGTTCAAATACTGTCGCCAGCCAGCAACAATCACCTGGAGACAATACCGTTAACGCGAAGAGGACAGAGGTCTTGAACAACGGCTACCATTCGCCAACCAACGGGGACTTGCAGGCTAGTAAAAAAAATGTCGAGAGCGAGATTTGTGGAAGGAATAATTTCCTGGAGGGGAAGAAGCCCAGCTTGCAGACTATATGCGCTTACAGGTCTATGACTGAGAGTCTGGAGGTTGAAGAACCGAAAACTATCAAGGACACCGCACCACTATTACCTGTGGACGATAGTCCTGATGTGTCGTTGCACGAGAAGAGCACCTTTGAAATCAGTAAGGAGGAAGACAGTCGTAAAGCCAGACTGAATCAGATCAAGGAGCTGTTGAAACAGAAGCCTGGTTTCGCAACCAGAACCAAACCATCGTTCCCTCTAGTCAGAAGAGCTTCGACGACAGCCAGTGGTCGTTTAGAGGCCGTTACCAAGGTACTACCACGGTTGCTCTCGCTGGAGCTGTTCAATCCGGAGACCGATGACCTCGACAGCGATTCCAGCGGTGTGTCCTCGCCGGATTCCGTAGGTTCTGTGATCAGCGTGATCTCCGACGAGAGATACATGGCTAAGAAGGATAATACTAAATCCGAGTGCACCGAGTCCGAAGTATTGGACAGTTCAGCTGAAAACGTGTCTGATCCTAGCGACGTGACGACAGCTGACGAATCGTCAGGGTACGTAGCTGATTCCAAGGAAGACGAGACGAAGACAACGGGTGACAGTAGCTCGTCTCAGTCTTCTAGACTTCTAGAGGCTGCAGCCAACGTCGCCAGTTCCCTGGAAGACGCTGTCGAAACGGCCATCACGAAAACGCACACTAAACCACATGCGATGCAAGTAGCACAACAGGAAAGCGTCGAAAGTTCAGCCAGCAGCGAGACGAAAGTCAGAGCGAAGTCGGATATCCAATTGCCAGAAGTGGAGGACACGTGGAACGAAGAATGCCGCAAACATCTGATTGACTTCACCGAGAAACTCAGTGAGAACTTGATGCACGGGCTGGACGAGAACAAGAACGACCAGAGTATTTTAGACAAGCCGTACCTGTCGAAGAAAGACTTGGACAAACGCAACGTCGAGCCCCTACCCTCTTACGACGTTTCATCCTCGATATCCAACAAGTCCAAATACAACGATTTATCGAACACGATCGCCTGGTTGAGCAACACCAACAACGGTTTCAACGAAGAAATGCATAGGAGCACCTCGGACGATATAATGGATTTCGTGATGGTCTCCAATACCGGGGAATTCATGAACGAGAAAGAGGCAACGTCGTTGGACAAGCAATCGTCTGAGAAACCGTATCTAAGAAGCGCCAACTCTATAGGGTCCAGCGACATTGGTGAATCCATTGATAATACCATCAGCTTTAGCGACGGAAGTCGCGCAGACTCCACTGGGAGACTATGCAGCAGCATGATGTCGCTGCTGTCGAACACCAACGAGTATCCCAAGTCGTACGCTGAGAAGCAAAGGCTCCAATTGCAAAGGAGGTCCGCATCCGAGGAGACGCCACCCAGGTATCCGGACAATAGCAAACGCAGTACCGATTGTCTGGTAACGACGACAGGAAGCAACGACTCCCTAACTGGATCCTCATCCCAAGAATCTCTGCCGTCCGATCGCGGAGGCGGCGCCATCACTTATCATCAGTACTATCACGTGTTCAGGGAGGGCGAGCTGGACCAACTGATCAACAAATACGTGGAGAACTTGCATATTATCTCGTCTTACTACGATCACGCGAGCTGGTGCATCGTCGCGGAGAAGGTGCAGGTCTGGACTATATGACTCGAGGCGGACGCCCCTGTCCCGTTCTCGCGCGGAGCGTCGCGCCTCGTGCGTCGCCACGCCGCCACGCCGCCGGTTAGATCGCTTATCGGGCAAGGATAATCAGTTCGTGAAGCTCGCTGAACTTCGTGAAATGCTTCTCGATTCTCTCGTCTTTATGTCGGGTACACACGGCTCTTGGTTTACGACGAAGAGCAGGCTAATTTCTTTGTTATTAAAGCCAAGCGCAGGCACGGTTGGTAGCTAATGAAGATACTCTACTCAACTGAATTTATTATCGCTTCTCTTATTTATTGCCCAGGTCGAAACTGATTACATTGGCCGACTGTGAGTCACGGCCAGAGTCCAAACAAGTGGAGATACCAAAATTTTTAAATCTGACGCGGATAGTTGGAGAACTATATGAGAAGATTGGATTTTCACTGAAAGAAACAAAGAAATAACTTCCGGTGTTACATTACGTTTATTCTTCGCGCAGTTAGGTCAAGCAAAATGTTTAGTTCCCTTGAAGAGAACGTGATATTATTAGCTATCTGCCAGAAATAGAAGTTAGCACGAGATAAGAGATAAAACGAATTACAAAAGAGGAGGAACCAGATGTAAATATGTAAAATAAAAAAAAAAAAAA